AATCTCAAGGGCAGGATTTCAAAATCAAGAGTAGTATTAATACAAGAAATGGAAATCATTGCTCTACCTTTCTCTTCTGAATACAATATCAAGATTTCCCTTCTACTCTGCTCCCCAAACAAGGTAGAACCTGGCACGGAGCAAGTTCCTTTAATATGTAGACCCACCACCACCACTCAGGATATCTGAGCTGGGTCAAGGAACAGGGAAAAGCTACTTGACACAACCTCAGATTCAGCTGTGACAATAGAGCTAAATGTTTACATGGGACCCAGTGAGTTCTGGCACTGAAAATGCAACCCTGGGATTGGGAGAATGTGGCTAGCAAAGTTTTGGTTTCTCCTCTGTTTCATGTAAGGTCTCAGACTTTGGTCTGTGAACTGAAAGAAATGTGTGAAGGTGTGTACTGTGTACTTTTGCACTGTGAGCAATTCAATTTATTAACCATTTCGGTACTGGCGTCAACTATAGTCGATAGCCACAGATGAATGTACACAGCCTCGCCTCGACTTTAGCATTAATAACAAAACTTGACTTTTCTAATTTTTCATTTATCAAAATAAAATTGTGAACATTTAAAAATAATTAATGAAAACATATATGTATGTTACCTATTCTTTACATTACAAGTAAAGCTGCCTGTAAAGTAAAACAAGCTTTCAGTGCTTTAAAGCTTTCTCATCCACAAGGAGCAAAGCGGACCTCGTCGAATGCACAGCGACAACTATCGTGTGGACTATGAGTGCCGGCTGTGGGCAAGGTTTCGCTTCCGGTGTGCGCCGTACCGGAAGTGGTTAAGGATAAGATTGATAGTGATTATTGGACCTGAAAAAAATGTGAAATGGAAAAGCAAAACAAAGTTGGATGGTTATGTATAGATACAATTAATTCCACTTAATTTAGAAATGTATTTAGCAACTTAGACTCCTCAGGTACAGAGTTCTAATGTAGCTCTCTGTCCACAAGGAGCTCAGAGCATAGTGTTTATGTGAATGTGGACTAGGGAAGGTTTTTCAACAAATTTCAAATTGCTATTTTAAGTTCGACAATAATTATGTACTAGACACAGTGACAGAAAACAACAAGAAACTAATGCAGTTAGGCTGGATTAGGGAAAATTTCTCAGCATAGAAGATAATCGAGTGTGCTACTAAGAATGGGAATGATAGAAAGTTGTCTCTTTTTGAGAGTCTACCATAGGCCTGATATGTATACGTGGTGCAAATTACTCATTTAACTTTTAACAACAACACAAAGTCTATGAATTATCATTCCTGTTTTACAGATGGTGAAACTAAGACTGAGAGTGATGAAGTTAGAATTTGCAGCCATAATGTCTGGTCTTCAAGCCTCATTTGACTTTCCTACCTTGTCTATCGATGAGAGCCTAAAAAGGGAAGTGAAGTATATTTATGGAAAAATAGAGAGACACAAACTATAAAATAGCTAATTCAGAGTTTTAGTATTTTGAAATGGCTGAAGTTTGTGTATGAAAGGAGTGATCACGCATGAGAACAGACAGAAATACAGGACTCTCTTCTACTAAGGGCTTTTAACACATTTGCTTGGTCAGAGTTCTTTGTGGTAAGTATGGAACAGCTGGCAAGAGAGTGTCTTGAGAGATTTAGGCTGAGGCATTGAGGGAGATGGAGGAGGACTGGCCATAAACTTATGCCTAATACATACTGGAACCAGGGAATACATTATCAAAGCTGAATAAAGAAAGGAAGAAAGTGAATCAGGAGAAAACAGGAAAAGCAAATTATGAGCAGGAGATGTCAAGGAGGTAGAGGAGAAAGTCTAGAGAGAGAACGGAATGACAGATCTGGAAGAAAGGTGGTAGCAGAGTGGGATGCTCACGTGTTGAAACTTCAGACTGGGGCAGGGAAGAGTGATGGCAGGATCTAGGGAAGCCGCTGGGTGGGGGATCCTGAAATGAAGTAGAGGGAAAGCACGTGGTAGAGCTTTGAGGCTCGGGTGATTCATGGGTCATTGCTGAAGACTCTGAACTCACTTAAGGTTGGAAATAGGCTTGGTTGGAGAATAATGTTCTTTGCTACCAGATATTTCAGTAATATTCATGCATCATTGTGAAAATAGCGTATTTGAAGGGACTAGTATGAGAGAGAGTGCTTGACTCCCACAGGAGAAAAGTTTGGGAAGACTAGGAGTCATGAACTAGAGAAGCTCAAACCTGACTCTGTAGGTGGGCATGGATAATAGATTTACTTTTTCTATTATGTTAGTCCCAATAATTTAAAAAAGTGGTAAACTTTACATAAACATCTGCATTTCTGGGATATTTGAAAAATCAGAGGTATTAATACTATCAATAATTATCTTGCCTAGCAATATCACATCCAATTTTTTGCTACATACAGAATTTTCAGATACAATAAATACAAATTCTGCTAAAAGGAAGAATCTTTTAGTTAAAGTAGAAAGTGTAAATAACATTCTAAAAGGTAGGTATGTATGAATCTTTATTTATAAAAAAATACTAGAATTATATTAGTCCAATATGGAATAGGTTATGCCATGATAACAAGTAAATTCAAAATTTTAGTGGATAAGCACAGCAAAGATTTATTTCTTGGTCATGAAAAGTTTTACATGGAATGGGAAACTGCTCCAGTGGCTTCCAGAGTCCCCAGGTCAGAGGGAGAGGGGAGAGGAAGGTCACTCAGGCTGCTCTGAGCAGCCATCTCCTCCAGAGTGCTTTGCAGCACCTCAGGCCACACCCCACCCGCCGGAACCCAGTAGTAAGATTCTGATGCAGCTATGGAGGACTCAGACATACCCTCTTCACCTGGGTCCATGGAAACACAACAGGATTTGGTATATATAGACAGCATTGCCTTTGTCCCAAGAGCTTTTGCGGAAGATAATAGGAAGGATTAAGAAAGAGGATATTAGTGCATGGGAGAATCCCTGTGGAAGAATCACGGGGCAGTTTGAACATGTGAGTACAAAGAAGGTGCAGAACTTAGGGATGGAGTTAGGGGAGGGCTTGTATTTAAGGTGGTGGCTGAGACTAACCAGGATGAGAGCCACTGTAGGATTAAAGGAACTAAAGCTTTATGCAGATGCCAACAGGTGATATTAGACTCCTGGCAAAACTAGAATAAAATAGGCTGATAAGTACTGAAGTTAATAGAAGCTGAAACCTCTGCGATGTCATACTTCAGGTGCTTCTGAAAGGTGGAAACTTCCCATTTCGTGCATAAATATTAGACTATGAGCTTCTGAGTACTGTTGGCTTAAGAAAACACATTCATTTTATATTCAGCTACTGGTTCAGCTTATGATTTAAAAAGAAAATAAGAAGAAACTTGTATTACTGCTAAACAGTGGCAAATGGTTGAGATTCTTATCTCACAAATTGACACTCACAAATTGAGAGAGGGTAATTAGGCTAGTTTGTATCATGTGGCCCCTCCAGTTCCATTTTAATCAAAATAAACTATTTATGGTGAATTTAATTTCATTTATTGCATTTAATTAATTGATATGTTAAAACACAAATAATGCAAAAATACTATTTTGTAAAAGAAATAAATAACTTTTTTCATTTTCTTTAAGTGAATACTGTATACTGTACACAGGGCATCTGGTGGTGACTTCAGGGAGACTACCCTCTAAATATTAATAATAGCAAGCTTTCTACACTCTGACATCTTTCTCCCCAAAACTAACATGGAATAAATCAAAAAGTGAGACTCTACTAAAAGGAAATACATTTTATAATAACATGTTTCTATTTGGGGAAGTTATGAGTTGATTTGATAACAGACTGACCATGTCTTATACAATATCACCTACTTAAAATTCCTATAAGGATGTTCAAAACCTGTAATAATATCAGAAATCAATAATATATAAATAATTTTGGGGAAAAAAGGGTCTGGGGGAAATTTCCAATGATAGGAATGCAGAAAGAGAGACAAAGAGATATTGAAAGAGAGAAAATCATGACAGAAGCATGAATAGACCTCTGGTCAAAAATGCAAGTTAAGGAGGAAGAAAGAAAAACCTATTATTTACCCCTGAAATCCATCCTTACTCCCCACCCCCACTGTGCCCTCTTCTCATTCTTTTCACCAATGTCTCTTTCTACAGCCATTTGGGGACAGCAGCTCCTTATATATAACACAGCTAGAAGCTGGAGACAGAGGGGGGAAAGGAGGTGGCCCCTTAGCCATATAAGACAAACAAAGAGAAAACATCTGTCAATAATGTACTGTGAGTAATAAAGGTGAGAAAGACCTGGTCTCTAGTAAAAGGAAAAAGAGTCACAGAGATAATAGGTTTAGAGAAAAAACAATTGGTTAAAAAAATGCTCACTTAGAAATACAATTATGTGGAGACATTGAGATTGTGCTGATTTTTGTTAATAATAACACTCCACTGAAAACACTGTTTGTTTTCTGGAGAGCTGTGTAAGCTGTCTTATTGCTAAATTGCAATATAAGAAATAGTCATGTTTTGTAAGTCAGCTGTCAACAAATTTATTTCTGTTTTATATTGTTTATCATATTTTTATGTAGTTTGAAATGTTTAAATGTTGGAAATGTTCTAATATCGTGATTAAAAAATATAAATTTGTGGTGCATTTTAATGATAAAATTTAAAGGCTTTTCCCCCTCAATACTGTTAAAGGTTTATATACTCCAAATTACCTTTTATATTAATTTAGGAAGCTAAAGCCATTGAAGACTGTAGTATTGGTATATTGGTAAATGATAAAGCAATAGGCAAGAAACAAGTTGTGGAGTTTTTATACATTTAATTATAAAGCTTAAATTGGTTTTAAAAATTTGGTACAAGTCTGTTTCTTATCCTGGCATATATGGACGATGACATGATCATGTATTGATCATGTATTAGGATACAGAAAATCTTTAACCAATTCCAAAACTTAAAACACTTTATCTGTGTTTTCTAACCACTAAGGAATAAAATAATCATTTTTTGAAGTTAAAAAATCTAAAACTCCTGGAGAAACCGTCTCATATCTGGGGCGACACCTCGGCTGGCGGTTACCACCGCCTTTGAAACCTCTGGACCAGCCACTTCCATCACTGGCGTCACCATGGGAGCTGTGCTGGGCGTCTGCTCCCTCGCCAGCTGGGTTCCATGCCTCTGCAGTGGTGCATCATGCTTGCTGTGTAGTTGCTGTCCTAACACTAAGAATTCCACGGTGACGCGCCTCATTTATGCCTTCATTCTTCTCTTGGGCACTGCTGTATCCTGTATCATGTTGACTAAACACATGGAAACTCAGCTGAAGAAGATTCCTGGATTCTGTGAAGGGGGATTTAAAATCAGAATGTCTGACATAAAGGCAGATGAAGACTGTGATGTGCTGGTTGGTTATAAAGCTGTATATCGGATCAACTTTGCCTTGGCCGTCTTTTTCTTTGTCTTCTTTCTGCTCATGTTAAAAGTAAAAACAAGTAAAGATCCTAGAGCAGCAGTACACAATGGGTTTTGGTTCTTCAAAATTGCTGCTCTTGTTGGAATCATGGTTGGGGCTTTCTACATTCCTGGAGGCCCTTTTACCACAGCCTGGTTTACTTCTGGCATGGGAGGGGCCGCTTTCTTCATCCTCATCCAGTTGGTGCTGTTGGTAGACTTTGCTCACTCTTTGAATGAATTATGGGTAAATCGAATGGAAGAAGGAAACCCAAGATTATGGTATGCTGTTTTACTGTCTGTCACAAGCTTCTTTTATATCCTGTCAATTATCGGTGTTGGGCTGCTCTACGCGTATTACACCAAACCAGATGGCTGCACAGAAAATAAGTTCTTCATCAGTATTAATCTAATCCTTTGCATTGTGGTTTCTGTTATATCAATCCACCCAAAAATTCAGGAACACCAGCCTCGCTCCGGCCTCCTGCAGTCCTCTATAATCACCCTCTACACCATGTACCTCACCTGGTCAGCCATGTCCAATGAACCTGATCGTTCCTGCAACCCTAGCCTGCTGAGCATCATTACACACATAACTGCACCAACTTTGGCTCCTGGAAATTCCACTGCTCCGGCCCCTACCTCTGCTCCACCATCAAAGAGTGGGGGTTTTCTGGATACAGAGAATTTCATTGGGCTGCTGGTCTTTGTTATCTGCCTTTTGTATTCTAGCATCCGCAATTCCAGCAATAGCCAAGTAGACAAGCTGACCTTGTCAGGGAGTGACAGCGTGATCCTTGGTGATACAACTGCTAATGGTGGCAGCGATGAAGAAGATGGGCAGCCTCGGCGGGCTGTGGACAACGAAAAAGAGGGAGTGCGGTACAGCTACTCCTTCTTCCACTTAATGCTCTGCTTGGCTTCCTT